TTTACAGATTGCTGATGAGTGTGGCGAACCGTACGTTCAAGTCACTTATGATTTGGGCATTGCAAAAATTGCTTCGTCATTACAAAATACAGAATACGATGAATTCAAAAGGTTATTCATACATCTTGGTGGTTTTCATATAAAAATGGCTTTCTTTAAAGCAGTTGGTTTATTCATTGATTCCTCAGGATTAACTACAGTAATGGTGGAGAGCAAACTCATTGGAAGTTATTTGTCTGGACAACATTTTAACAAATGTCGACGACTACATGCTTTAGTATCATTATGTTTGAAAATGCAACAATTTCAGTCGTTTTTAGAAGTGGAGGCAATTACTATCAATGACAACATTGAATCATATCTGAATAATTTGCAGAAAAATCCACTGCTCGATCTAACTATAAGTAACATTGGAGTGCAGGATCTTATTGATCCATTTCAATTCTTTCAAGTACAAACTTTGCAAGGTGTACAAAATATCCAACAAATAATGGAAAATGCGCCAAGAACTTCTGTACTTACGTGTTTTATCACAAATGGTGGGAGTATCAGTCGGTACCTGCCACACAGTGTTAAAAAAAGATTTGCGTTTGTGATAAAACACAACAGTTTTACGCGATATATAGGGTATTCTAAAAGTTGAGTCATTTGTTTTAACAGTTGGCAGAACTCATAAAAAACAGTAGATTTATCAAAAATCGTTTATAAAAAAGTTGTCAATTATTAACAACTATTTAAAAAAATTTAAATTTAAAAACTTCATAATACCTCATTTATTGTCATTTTCCACCACTCCGTTGTAGAAACATCAATTGTTTGTTTACTACTGATACTGGGTACGTCTTTTTTTTTGTAGTTGCACGGTTTTGAGTATTCTTTTCGATTTGACAGTGCTAAATAATTCGTACAGTAGTGCATATTATTTTTGATTTGTGGGTGTTTTGTGCACTAAAAATGGCACGTTTATGAAAATAATGAATTAGCCCTTTGTGTCCCGGTGTGCACCTGTTGGAACCACAATTTTAATATTTTTTCCAATGTGTCTCAGTAAGCTTTAACCAGAACCACACATAGGAATGTGCTAGAGGCTTGCGCTATCTGTATGTCAGCGGCTGTGCCAGGATTTTACCGGCTTGAAAGTTCACTGTTATAGCACAGTTCTGGAAGACGTGTTGTGATTAGCTAAATCCTGTTAGGTTATATTATTATTGTGATTTCATTTCGATAATGGCAGGTAAGAAAATTGATTATTTAATGTATTTTGATATGGTCTTGCATGTAGTACATAGATATGAATGAACTATGATGTGTCAGTGTGTTTTAGTTGCTTTTGGAAATAGTGGTTCTGTTTGGGACCACAAGTACTCAAATGAGTAATTTTATCAATAATGTGTTTTATTTTCATTTTGAATTTTAGCCAATGGTAATGCGAGAAATCGAAGATGGACTATCCTTGAGTTGGAAAAGTTCTCCAATGATGAATTATTTACAATGCTGGAGGAATTACTCTCGGGTGACGAGTCAGAGCTATCGGAGGATAAAGATGAAAGTGATGACGTTCTCACTGAAATTGCACAAACTTTGTATGATATGATAACCAAATGGAATGGGACACTGACGATGATTTACCGTTAGCGGCGTTTATTGATAATGCCCGAAATATTGCAACTCCAAGAGTGACCAACAGTATACACTGGTCCAAGCAAGTCTTGAATAATAATAATGTTTTCCCGTTTAACCAACAATTTGGAGCCAACATACCACCAAACGTAGAGGAACCCCTCGACATATTCAGTTGTTTATTTTAGGAAAAACCTGCAAAAAATTTGATATATTCTTCAAGTAGTGACGAAGATGATGTGCTATCGTTACATGATTCTGAGAGTGATTATGAAAATATAGACAAATTTGTAAATGAGTACAATGACAAAGTTTTGAATGAAGATGAAGATGTGGAACAAGAAGACAGGCTGAAACCAGGAAAATGGGCATTAGTACAATTTGCTACAAAGAAGACAAAAAAACATTTCATCAGACAAATATTTCTCTGTGTTAATTTGTAGTAAGAATGTTACCTTATGTTATTTTTCTCTAATCGTTATTATTATTTATGTTAAACCAAGTACCTTGTGCTACTTTTAAGTTAATAAAGCAAATTACAATTTGAATGATTTGGTATTTCTTTCCTGCAACTATAGAAAACACCATAAAACTAAAAATCTATAACAGATATCTCAAATCCGAAAACTGCATTTGAAAGCCGCCGTTTGAAGAAGTATTCTCTCTAGCCCCCTCTTATTTAACAATGCTATAAATATGTTTTACGATAGTAGTTCTCACTTGCCACGTGTACAGGGGCAAGTGAGACCTACGAGTAAGCTTACAGGTTGATTTTTTTTCATGAAGTACACAGCCAGCAATCGAGTATTTGGACATTGCAACCAATAGTAAACACAACCTTATATACTGGGTTAAAAGTGGAAATTTCCAAGGCTCTTGAACTTAACATTATAAAATTAAAAAGTCGAATTTTTTTAATTTTGGGGCCCACTTACCCCACCTGACCTTACAAATATTTATACAGGGTGTTCTAAAAGTCCTTCAGGAAACTCCGGAACGTGATTCTACGGATTAAAATAATAGCAGTATGTAATAAAAATTTGTTTCGATTTGTCAATTGTTTGCAAGTTACAGCTTGTCAAAGTTCAATTTTTTTTTTTTATTTAAATAACTTATTTAATTCAAGTTCGATTAGTTTCTCATTTGGCACACCCACTAAGTAGATGCAGCTCTATTGGACCAGTCAGAGAAAAGTTTCATTATGGACCGCTAGAGGGCACTTTACTTAGAACTCAAAATTTGTTTTGTTCATAACTTTTTTCTTTTGCTAGACGTCACAGAAATTTAAACATTATTGAAAAGAGAAACATTATCAGAAAAAATTATGTACTGTAAGCACCCAGACATGCAACGCAGGCGAGGGAACGTCGCCGTAGGGCCAACGAAAACAAATAAACGCTCAAAGCCCTTGATAAATTGTGTTGATAGATATGTATACAGATATATAGGCTTAGGGAAGTTTTTAAGAGATCAGATTTANAATTTTTTTTTAATCACGCCATCGTATTATACTCATTTTTCTCTATCTGCTCTTAAAATTAATGACATTATGACTGAATCACCCTGTATAAATGTAACCGTTTACCAGGATATAGCTATTAATATGTTATTAAACATAAAATTTTCGATAATTCTTTCTATAATTAATCAAGTTGCCATTCTTCAAATAAATATCATTAGTAATTTTGGTGTTACGAATTGCAATAAAAATTGTTTAAAGCAGGTATGTTTGATTTTTCGCCATAATAAATTTTTTTTCGTCTGTAATAGCCTTGTGGAAAAATAAGCTGAGGATAATAAATTTTCTAATAACATTTTATTTACTAGCGAAGCTGGTTTTATAAGAGATGGTATTACAACATGGCAACTTGATTAACTGCAGAAAGAATTATCAAAAATTTGATGTTTAATAACACTTTAATAGCGATTAATAGCGATTTCCTGCTAAACGGTTACATTTATCGGCTTGAATTAAGAGTATTTTTCTGATATTATTTCTCTTTTCAATAATGTTTAAATTTCTGTGATGTCTAGCAAAAGAAAAAAGTTATGAACAAAACAAATTTTGAGTTCTAGGTAAAGTTCCCACTAGCGGCGCATAATGAAACTTTTCTCTGACTGATCCAATAGAGCTTCATGTACTTAGTGGGTGTGCCAAATGAGAGACTAATCAAACTTGAATTAAATAAGTTATTGAAATAGTAAAATAAAAAAAATTAACTTTGACAAGCTGTAACTTGCAAACAATTGACAATTCGAAAAAAAATTTCATTACATACTGCTACTATTTTAATCCCTAGAATCACCTCCCAGAGTTTCCCGGCAGACTTTCAAAACACCCTGTATCGCCAAAATAGCCGTCAACTATAAAGATCCGCATGAAGAAAAAAGTACAAATAAAAGGGAAGTGAAGGAAGTGGTCTTTTATACCTCGCCGGTGTTTTCAAATCTGGTCGGAGAAATTGCAGTGTTTTGGGCAAAGGACGGAACTGGGGTAGAGGTATTTCCTCCTACAATGGCACATAGACGATTTATATTTCTGTTGCGATGTTTACGCTTTGATAATGCACATACGAGAGAAGAAAGGAAGAAAAAGATCAAATTGGCTCCAATTTGATGTGTTTGAATATTTTAACGAAAACTGCAAATCAAATTATATACCCGGATCATATGTATTTGACAGTTAGTAGATGAAATGTTATTTGCCTTGCGAGGCCGTTGCAGTTTTCGTATGTATATCCCCAACAAACATCCCAATATCTCTCAAAAAAGAATAATTCGTTANCTGGTACTTTTTGTACTTTTAAATATAATTTCGTAATTTTAGTAATTTCTAGACTTTTTCACATACTTACAAGAATTAATAGACTTCTAATAATTTTTGTGATTCTGTTATAATTTTTAATAACCTATGAAATTTCATAACCTAATTAATTTCGAAAAAGGAAAACATGTGTTTTATAAGTAACTGCACTTATTTGCATACTTCATTAAAAAGGTGAAATTAGATAGATAATTTTAATTACTTTCGAAAAAGGAAAACATGTGTTTTACAAGTAAATGCACTTATTTCCTATTTCATTAAAAAGATGAAAATATTAGATCATTTTATTAATTGGGAGTAATTGTAAGAAAATTTATTTGAATTAGCTCAAATAATAACCTTATAATAAAGTAAAAAAACTACGAAAGCTAATAATAATTAATAAATATTTAGGTAAAACATTGTGAGTGTAATTCAATGCTGGTCGGGGTATTAGTAAAAAAGATAATTTTATATTGAAAAGAGATAACACTTTTTTATTATATCTTAAATGTTCACTAAAAAAACTACTAACAAGTATACTTAAAACATATATTTGTAAAATATAATTAAAAAATCATTGCCTTCTGAACTCTTTATAACATTTTTGTATTTTCTCTAAATCTTGATTGGAAATTTGAAAGGGGCGAGTTCCAATTAAATTAATTGGACCAAATAAAATATATTTTATATCAATTTTCTCATCGATATCGTCTTTCTTTGGCCAAACAAATACGTTAAGAGACTTCTTTAAAAATTTCATTTTTACAGTATTATGGCTACCGTCATAATTTATTATTTTTCCGATAAACCATTCTTCATCATAAAAAACAGCGTAATATTTTTGTTCCGTTACTTCTGTTACTAATTTAGAAACGTAATTTCTTTTATTTTTATTATTATTTTTGAATCTAAGAAGTCGATCTGAACTTAATTTACTTTTATTTCCAGTGATTAACCAGATTAGGGAAGACTTCTTTACTACCATTTCGGTTCCTGATTGCAATTTTATTTTTAAATTTGTATTACTTGATTTTTCTGTTTGATTCTTGAATAATATAGTATCATAATTTTTTAAAACATTTTTATCTTCATCTGGTACTTCATCATCACTTTCCTCATTTCTATCCATACTCAATATTTCTAAAACAAAATATTTAAATTTTTTTATTTGTTTATTAATTTTTTTGGACATTGTACTTTCATACTTACCTTCCTCAATTCCATTTTCACCTTCAGAAAGATCTTCATAAAAGCTATCATTCGTCATTTTCAAAATTGGTTTAATCCACTCCGATGTTTTCAAAATTATACCTAGGCCTGCAACAATATCAATCACATCTTGTTTTGCTTTCATCACTATTCGTTCTATGACTTGTTCAGAAGGAAATGTTGTCTCATGTAATATTTGGTCGTGACCCAACTTATTATGATGTTCACGTGGAAATTCATAAGTATGATCTATAAAAAATATAAGTAAATAAAATACATGAATTTAAAAAATGTAATAGTCTCACATATAATAGTGTCACATATTAGTTGTAATCGATGGAGGCGATTCATAACCTCCAAAATGTTAAAATTAACCACCGTTGAAAAGGTACTAGTCATTGATCGTAAGGCTCGGAATGTTTTTTCACAGGGTTGGCTACTACTCAGCCAGGGAAAAAATATATTTATAGATTCATCTCTTGCTTTTCTTACATATTGAATTAAACTGTGTGCGTTTATCTCTATACAGGTATATGCATTCAAAGTAATAAAATTTTCGTTTAATGAATATTTATTAGTTTTTAACCAAAATCGCCATATCCGGAAAAAGAATGTGGCATACCATATATTATAAAGCCTTTCTTCGGGCGTAATACTTTTGTCTAAATGAGCGTCCAAAATTTTTTTTACGACGGACAAAAATAATTCAGTTGCTTGGCTCTCTGGAATGTATTCTTTTAATAATTTGTTTATTTTAGGATCAGTCATCTTTTCGATGCTTTCAAAGTTCATTTTATCTTGGCTATTTAAATGGTATTCAAACAATTCATGACGATCTCTAGGTACTTTCTCCATCAGTGTTTTTAGATGTTCAATTGAAATAGCATATTTTCCAAAAGGTAGGAAAATATTAGGTTTTAACAGACGTGTTCTTAGTTTTGTACCTATGTGAACAGCATCCTGCATCATCAGTTGATCATTTTCTGAGATGTTTGTAAAAAACCATTGTTCTGACTTAATTATTTCTATGTTACTTCCAAAACCTGTTCTAATTTTCATGGTCTTCAACATTCTTGTATCCCCATCTGTTGAGAAGCCTAATACTTCGATACCATGTGCACTAGCTTCTTGAGAAATTTTTTTCCATCTTCTTTGTACATCTTGGGCTGTGAAACAATTATTGGTGCCAAAAACACAAAGACAAAATGATGGAGCACCGGGAACTAATGGTTGGGCTATTACTAAATTTACATAAGTAGATTTTTCATAAGCTTCATTATAGTGATATAAATCATTTAATGTATGGAAAGGGAAGTTATTTATGACTGGCATACCATTTTCATCTAAAGGGGGTACATATCCTATAATTTGATTTAATCTAGGATTATATTTAACTTTACTGTCTATTGACGTTTGATCCTCACATATCCATATTTTTTTAGGATAATTTCTTATGTCTAAAAATGTTTTTAATTTTGTAAATTGGAATTCCCCTTCTCTCACAGAAAACCTTCTTTGAGAAAATCTCTGCACTGTGCGTAGAGATGGTAAAGCTTTAGGCATATTTGCACTTATAGTTTCATAAAGTAACCTACCACCAATAATAAATAAATAAGAGGAGAAAGTTTTCAGATTGCTATTATATCTATGGGTTTTCTTGTGCTTCTTGTGCCAGTTTTTATTTACATTTTCAAAAATAGCTTTAAAGAATATAGACAAATCTTCATTATTTTTTATATTCAGCATACCTCCTGACGATTGAAACACATTTTCTTTGAGCAAAGCTTTTAATTTAATATTTTCTGAAAGAAGATCTGATACTTTTCTTTCGAAATATTTTGTTATCGAAAAATAGTGAAATATAGTTTTTTGAGAGCTATCAATTCTAACTGATGCTTCTCTGAAACGCTTTCTACGTTGTATTCTAGAATACTTTAGGTTTCGCCATTTACTGTTTTGGGGCTCTACTAAAAAGTGGCAGGAATCTCGAGCCCTAAAATTCCTGCAAATCTGAAAATCCTTTTTTAGTTCCGTTGAAGGTGCTGATGTATCTATATTTTCGAATTTATCTTTCACCTCACTGTCATTTAAGATATTGTTTTCATTTCGCTTTTCATCGAATGGAATTGAAATTGCCCCATCTGGATGAATTTGAATGTCTTGCAAAATAACTAATTTTGGAACATTCTCTTTTTCTGATGGGTCTGTATGGTCATAACTAAAGGTATTTACAGAATTATTCTCAATATTGAAATTGCCGAGGTACTGAGAATTGTTTAAAAAATTTTCAATAAGTGGTTGTTTCATAATATTCTTAATTTTTAATGTTCCTTTTTCTTTGAAGTGCGATTTGAAATGTTTATAAAAATTGGAAAAACCAACCAACGAATTCTTTGACCTGTGCAGTTTTATAGTTGCAGCACAGTGAGAACAAATTACAACAGGATTATTTTCACTGGGATACAGAATATCTAATTTCGGTAACTTATTTATTACTTCACTTTTGCATTCCAAATTATTTCTAGTCATATAGCTTATGATCCAATTTTTTATGGATTTCAAAATATGGGATTTTTCTTCATCAGTACCGATTACGCTTTTACGGATATTTTCTTTCGGAGAACTTGAAGTTTCACTATCGACATTTGTATATTTTCGTTTTTCTGCTCGTTTTCCTCGTATTTCATCTTTGGCTGTTTTTGAACTTTTCGTTTCCTTTTCTTTTTCGATGCTCCTTTAAAATATATTTAAATAGTTATTAGTTACTTACGAGGTTACTTACTCGAATAAGAGAAGTAAAGAATCAATCTCGTAGTCAATTATAAAATTACATACATAAGTATTAATCGAAGCATTAAATAATAGAGAATAGATAAAAGCGAAGGTAAAAGTTGAGCATTATTAATGTAACAAACAGAAATTTAAAAAATAATTTATTTAAATAAGTATCTGCCAGAATCGGAAAAAAAATATTAATATATTTGTGAAAAGCTATTTTTTAAGAAGTGAATGTGATTTAATATCTTGCAAAAAAAATTATAGTATTGAGCACCAAAATTTCGCAAAACATTATCAGCAAACCACAAAGTATATACCAGATAGGTATAATAAAATTATTTATTTTTTATTTATTTCAAAACCATGAGGTAGGATTCGCATGACTTGGATCGGCATAACAGTCATATTAAAGGACTCACATAATATATTCACGTATAGATATGTTTAAATGTACTCGTATTTGTGAGAAGGACTTACAAGAGGTGCAACCTCGAATACCGATGCTTAATAATTAATAATAAGCTTAATAAAGTTTGGCTGATGTCACGCTTAGAATTTGTTTTGTCCTTAAAATCTATATAATTTAAATATAGGTATGCACAGGGTGGTTGATTTTCGATAGTTTTATAGGGTACAGCCAAAACGGTAATAGATACAAAAAATCTGATGTCGATGTATCGTCCTCTTCTTTTGAGTTTACTTCGCTGGTGTCAGAAGATCTTGGCCAACTTGATTAGTTTTGAAAAATCTTTTGGTACCAGTGAAGTAAACTCAAAAGAAGGGAACGGGACATCGAATGTCAGATTTTTTGTATCTATCACCGTTTTGGCTGTACCCTATAAAACTATCGAAAATCAACAACCTTGTACATATAAAGATACCCTAGTACGCTCATTAGCACGATATTAAAATTTTCATATTTTTTTGTCAGCAATTTTAAGATAATGAAGTTAATAATTTCATAAGTTAATTTAACTTACGTAGCATATATTTTTAATTTTTCTAGCAACAGTTTTTGTCCTGGGAGTACATCAAAAAGGTTGCATGAAGAAAAAGGTCCTAAATAATCTTCTTTATTTCCTGCGAATACAGTGGGTACTATATTCAGGGCAACTCTTTTCACTTCTTCCAGACATTCATCTGACCATAATGATAAACTTATAGAGTTGTCAAATCCACAAAATTTTAATAAGTTCTGTAAATACTGTGGAATAATGATGCTAAACTCTTTTTCAAATTTTGTAAATATGGATTCATAATTATCAGTTAAGCTGTTCTCTCTCTCCATCTAAAAAATAATAGGAAATTATCTATCTACATAAATTTCTATGTAAATATTTCAAAGTTATTTCAAAATCTATAATTGAACTTAATAATTTCATTTATAGACCGATTAAAATAACTCATTTAGAGGGGAAAAAAATAGAAAATTGTTACCCGGACTTTTATAAGTGGAAATGGTAAAGGGGCTTATAATAAACGAAAAAAAAAATAATAATAAATGCGTGAGCAGGGGCGGCGGAGGATTGATTTGGGGGATGAAAAGTTATGAAAAATTGTATCATTGGGATTTCTGGCGAAAGTTGACGTCAAACAAAAAAGTATCCAATACAAAAGTTGTAGATCATGCAAAAATCTACAACTTTTGTAGAAGTCATTTTTTAATATAACCTCAAAATTTCCACGAAAAATGCGAAAAACAGGTTTTTTTCTGATTTTTAGTTTTTTATTTCTCATTTCCGCAAAAATAATTTAATCTTGACGAAACTTGGTGAAAGTATACCTTTCTCAGTCTTAAATAACCCCAATTTTTTTTAAATAAAAAAATCAAAAACTTTCTGATATTCTTCGGCCTGAAACACTTTTTTTTTCAATGAAAAATTCTACTTAAAAAAATCATCGTACAGAGTTCCGCCGGTAATCATTTTTTTCGTTTTGACATATACTATCTGATGAAATAAAAAAATTTGTAATCACAGTTCAAAAACACGCTCAAAAATGCAAAAATGTAAAAAATGACTTGCAGCAATTAATTTTTCAGTAATTGTTGATAATTTGTTTAAATTAAAAAAAAATTAAAACTGACTACACCATTCAATTGTACGGGAAAAATACAAAAAAACTGTCTCATTGTTTGACCCAAAACTATTTTTGTACCTACTTATGCTATAAACATAAGTCGAATAGTGAATAAATAAAATAAATAAGAATATTTTTTTTCCGNTGACCTATCCAATGTCATTGTTGATCTCAAATAAATGTATTATTATTATTATTTATTATTATTATTATTAAGTACGGGATGTGTTTTCATTAGCTGACGCTAGAACATTTTACACCCGTCAATATGGAGATTTACTTAGGGATCCAAACTGAAGGGCCTTACCGGCAAAGCACAAAAACTACTAATTTAGTGAAAAACTTCAAGGAACGTGACAATGGACAACTGGTTTACCAGTTATGAAATTATCAGACGCATGCTGGACAAGCACAAAATAACAATAGTTGGCATCATAAGAAAAAATAAACGGGAAATTCTCAAAGAAATACTCCATTGTAGCAGGCCACAATATTCCTCAATGTTTGCGTTTCAGAAAGATGTGACATTGGTGTCATATTGCCCTAAGAAGAATAAAACTGTCTTGCTTTGCCATCTTTTTACAATGATAATTCTATAGATCCAAAATCTGGTGAGGCTTCCAAACCACATATTATCACATTTTATAAAATTACAAAAGCAGGTTGATTCAGTAGATCAACAATGTACTGCATATAATACTAGTAGAACCACAAGAAGATGGCCTATGGCCACTTTTTATAATCTCCTAAACATTGCCGGTTATAACAGTTTTGTTGTTTATCGAAGTAATACTGCTGAAGGTGGGTACATCTCTGAAAGGCGTTTATTCCTAAAGGAAATTGGTTTAGGATTGATACAAGACAATATGGCACTTAGAGCAAATGATCCACATATAAAAAAAGAACATTGGACAAAAATTGTGTAAAGTGGAACCTGACATCCTGTAGTTAGGGAGGTTTCTGAGACCTCATATTCATTGCAACGTTTTGTCTTATTTTTTCATGCATCATCTGCCCTAGAAGTCTGTCCAAGCTTTTTTATCACCGTGTATACGCTATAAACTCTCCCGGCTTCATACGTATACCTATATACGCAAAACAGCATTACCGCACACAGAATAGGACCGGTAAATCAAATTTAGCAGCTAAAAAGTTAAAGCAGCAAGTTAAATGATATGAAAAAACGCCGACTACTGGCAAACTCATCCTAGATTTGAAATTGCTATTAAAAAGGAGTAATACCTAGAGACAAACAGGAACTCGCCACGAGGTTATATCCATAACGCCACAAAGTCAGCCTCCAAAAGGGATGACGATGACATAGGTACGGAGAAATGCTCCCTCTTCACTAGAATGTTACATAAAAAAAAAACTCCTGCCTTCATCGAAACTAAACACAAAAACTGCACTTTATTCACTTTCAATCATTTTGTTTTCACGACATTCGACAACAAGCATTGCTACCAACTCCTAAACTCATCATCATCACACTAGATCAATGCCAACTTATTGTTGTAGTACATTTTCTACATTTATAAATTCATATTATGATCTTTCATTGCAACACATGTTAAAATATTTGTTAATTTACATATAAAACATATTCAGGTCAGCAGATCAGCCGGAAGCCGGAACTAGTGATGTCAATATTGTAATTANAAGTAATACTGCTGAAGGTGGGTACATCTCTGAAAGGCGTTTATTCC